ATACAAACCCCTATGTGATAAGTTTGTCAATCATTTCTTTTACCGTTTGGTCCCTCAGTTAAACATAATTGTGGTGCGACTATCTCTGCTAGATTTTTTTTTAACCCAACAGTGAACTCTGAACGAACCCCAGTGGTTCCCTTCTCTACAGTAGCAAATCTTGGCAGCTTCAGCTGCCTACACGTTGCTAATCAACAGAGTTAATAATACAGTGAAAACGGCTTATAGTGATCATATGAGTCTGGGATGAATATAAAAAGATCTCAAGAATGTTTGAAATCAGCCATTCCACTGTTGGGAAAATAATTTACAAGAGGAGAACATTTAAACCAACTGCCAACATAGCCAGGGTTGTCCTAACAAGTTCAGTCCAAGAGCAGATCGCAACATGTTGAAAGAAGTTTCCAAAAATCCAAAAATGTCATATTGGGTCATATAGGAAGCTCTTGCAACAGTTGATGTCAAGGTACATGCCACTACCACCAGAAAGAGACTGCACAAGTTTGGTTTACATCGGAGCTGTGCAAGGAGGAAACCTTTGCTCTCATCAAAACATCTGGGCAACACTGAAGTTTGCCAGAGACCACCTAGACAAAGACCCAGACTTTTGGAACAACGTGCTTTGGACAGATGAATCTGAAATTTAATTATTTGGGCGCAGTAAAGGAGGGCATGTTTGTCGTAAACCAAAGACAGATTTTGAGCAAAAGAACCTCATACCAACTGTGATGTATGAGGGTGGAAATGATCATGGTTTGGGGCTGCTTTGCTGCAGCAGAACCTGGCCAGCTCCCCATCATAGAATCCACTATGAATTCTTCATCATATCAGAGGGTGCTTGAGGACAATGTGAAAACATCTGTCCAGAAGTTGAAGCTGACCATGCAAATGACAATGACCCAAAACATTCCAGTAAATCTACCAAGGAATGGCTTACAAGATAGAATTGGAGAGTTCTGGAATGGAAGTCAAATCTGAGGTGCTGCGGGGTGATTTGAAGCGGAAGCGCATGGAAGACACCCTTCAAACATCACACAGTTTAAGGAATTCTGCATTGGAGAGTGGGGAAAATTTTCTGGCAGACGATGTCAGAGATTGATTGATGGTTATAGGAAACATCTCATTGAGGTTATTTCAGTCAAAGAGGGAAATACCAGGTATTAGGGCACAGGGTGTCCTAACTCTTTCCTCAGTAGGAATTGGCATATTAGTTAATTCCCTTTGTTAAATAAGTGAATTTGTTTCTTGTTTTTTCATAGGTTATGCAATTCCTTTATCTACAGACATAATTTGAAAGAATATTTAATACTGATATTTTGATATTTCTTGATAAAGAATGAAATATCTAATTTTTTTCACATGACTGTACTGTAATTCTGAGCACATATTGTTATGGTTTGTCCTTCCCTGGCAATCAGGAGTCAGGAGCCACTCGTGTAGATCTTCAGATTCTGTCTTTATTGCAACAACAAAGTTACAACCAAGACTGGACACCCTGCAGGAGTGTGTCCTATGCTGGGTTACACTGATTTTATACATTTTCTTGTCTTTTAACAATGACTCATCACTTAAACATCATCCTTCCCGCAGCCATTCACTATTGTTTCCTCACTTGATCCACACCCCTAGGTGATAAGGTTGTTAGTCATTTCTTTGGTCCCTCAGCTGAACATAATTGTGGCACAACCATCTCTACTGGATTGCTTTAAATACTCAGCTTTAAATAATTTAAATTACTTTAAATACTCTTGGCAAACTCAGGCAATTCCCTTCTCTTCAGTACCAAATCTTGGCAACTTCAGCTGGCTACACATTACATATTAATTGATAATATGGTCAATCTTCAACATAATGGTGTAGGGAGCCACCCACTGGTCAAACAACGAAATCCAAATGGATAGTCAAAGGCTTTGAATGCATGTCGGTCGTTCCGAGTGCATTTGAAAGTTACCTTACTCTTTAAAGCAAAGTAAAGCCATATGTGACTCCAATTTAATTAAAGACTTATTTAGGGTGTTTTAGTCATGACATTTCCATTATTCAGGTTACTCCTGGGCTTTCCTTGCTATTGCTAAACTCTCATTTATCCTGGATGGTGGAGTACATCAGATCCCCGTGCGATCCATGGATCTGCTATGTAGTGCTCAGTTCATAGATTGAGGAATAGCTACACAATGTCAGCTTAGATGACCATTCAGGCCCAGCGATTCATATAACTCCTCAGAAGCTCAGGCAGCATTTGGCGTATCTGAGCTTATGGGTGCACAACTCAGCTTGTGCGTGCATCAGAGGCTGAGCTGGTGCTTCCCGCAACTCAGCTTGTGCGTGCCTCAGAGGCTCACCTGGTATTCACCATAACTCAGCTTGTGCGTTCCTCAGAGGCTCACCTGGTATTCACCATAGCTCAGCTTGTGCGTTCCTCAGAGGCTCACCAGGTATTCACCATAACTCAGCTTGTGCGTTCCTCAGAGGCTCACCTGGTATTCACCATAACTCAGCTTGTGTGTGCCTCAGAGCTGGTATTCACCGTAATTCAGCTTGGGCAGTCGCATCGGGTCCCAGAGAAATGGGGACAATTCAGAGGCTGCAAGATTTATATGTAACGATTTCAACTTATTCGAGTGAAATGACAGTTTAACTCTGACCAGGGAAATGAGCCCCATCTATTGGAAACATACTGAAGTTAGCAAAGTCAGACAGCCGAGAAGTAATCAAAACAACATTTATTCACAATTAACACAACAAAACATGCATTTTACCAGACATAGAAACTCATCTAAAGTTAAACAATTACATATCTTAGCTGAATGTGCACAGAGTAACTTTGGGAAGTATTTGATTACAGATGGAAATTCACACAGCACGATGTGGGAGCTCTGATGACAGAATGCGTCCCCCACCCCTGGTCACTAAAGGACTTCCATCTTCAACTTCATGGAAAAGATACGTTACGATGTCATGGTTGTCGTTAAAAATGTTCTGGGAAATTCATTGTTGGTGAAAATCACAATATGAAAGATTGCATTTTCAGTGAGTTAACCAGAATGATAGAGTGAAATGCAAACTTAATGACGTTGTATTTGGAGTTCTTCCTTAAGTATTGAAAACCAAGTGATGGAATGTCTTTGAAGATCGAATTTTCTGACCAAATGTTGTGATTGATTATTTTTAGGGTTTGAACTTTTGTGTGTGGCTCGCTGAACTACTGATCTATCACTTCTCAGACCGAACATGGGTGTATGTGTCCCTAATGGTAATCTGGGGTGGTGCTTCCTGTACTTGAGTGTAGTATGTGTTTCTGTCTTCAGGCAGCCTGACATTCCCATGGCAATCTGGCTGTGGGGTTCTGGCCACCCAGTGCGGGTTAAGGTGTACCCTTTGATATGGTGATCTGGTGGTTTGGGCCCATTCTTGTTGAAGCCAGTGGACCTTTGCCTGGGGTGGAACAGTGCAGGCTTTTCAGAGTTCAGGCTTGCAGGGCCTGGTAAGCTGCAAAGCTAATTAAGGTGGATATTCATATAACCAGGGCTAAAATAAAATAGCCAACAGAAGCTTTGAGGCTAACATAAGGTACAGATACATAATTGATTACATTGTAATGATTACATCATGAGTATTTGGCCTGCTTTTTGGTAATATGCTACAGATTACATTCTCTAACTGTCGTACAATGCTAAATAATATTCCATAATATAAAAACAACATTACAGTATTTACTATATTGATGACAGGTAATGCATTAAATGTTGTTATTTTATCAACAATGCTTAAAGCACTGGGTAAATGAGCATGATTCTTTGCTGTGGATGGTAATGTTAGGAACTATTCACCATCCCCGTGACCCGGATTGTTGTCCGGAAATTTCTGCTCCATTTTTTACACTGGGTCTCTATGGGAGTGTCACCACTCGGTTTTTCTTCCGCTCTGATATGAACCTTGACTTAACTCTCACTTCCAGCTGTATAACCAGTGGAAAGGCAGGCAGGCTCTCAAAAGACACCAAGCAATGCCCGTTGGTGGTGTTCATGAAGTACAGGCATTAAAAGAAGCCTACGAGAGTAAGGTTTGCTCACAGGCATGTGTGGTGATTAATCTGTCTGGAATTGAAAAGGAATAAAAAAAGAAGGTTGTGCCTCTGGGAAGCAGGGCTAAGAATTAAGCTTACACACTTGCCTGAAGCAAGTAATTTAGACAAAGTGTGAGTACAAAACACAACACGGGCCTACTGGCTAGTAAAAAATAATTCCATGTTAGACTACATTTTTGCAGAATTAACCCTGTTGGCCAGAAGCAAAAATTCTTAAGTTCCAACCCTGCTACTGACCTTTAATCGTTTGACAAAATTGCAGCCCATAACTTATAAATCACAAGACTCAGCAGACAAAATTATTCCCCAATTTATTTATTTTATCCACATGTCTACAGCCAGATTATGTTTATAGTTTATTACAGGAATTTCTAAAGATAGATATATTGGTATTCCAAAGTTGTTTGCATGTGTTTTGGTTAAAAGGGATATTATACGTATTACTGTTTTTGGACCAACTCCTTGATGTTTGGTCCACTGTCAACCATTAGGAACATGGATGCTATGAGGCCTATACATACAGTATCTATAACTGAACAGATATTACAGTAGTCAATCAATCAATGGCACATAAAACTACAATCTTCCAGACATATATTTCAGTTTTCATGTGGTGTTTGTTGTCAGCTGCCCAGATAATGAGACAATGTTAAAAACAAGCTTTCACAAAAGGACTATCACTGGAGGTATCATCATTAGATGGCCTGTAGAGCAATCACAAGTGATCTAATCAATGTTTTTGATTTGTGGAGAACCTGCTTATCTTTCTGGGTCATGGGGGGGGTCCAGAGCCTGTCCCAGAAGCTATGAGCACAAGGTGGGGAACAACCCAGGATGGTGGGGGGGCAACCCATTGCAGGATACACTCACTCACACATGCACACCTATGGGCAATTTAGTAACTCCAATTAGCCTCAGCATGTCTTTGGACTGTGGGGGGGAAACCCCACGATGACATGGGGAGAGCATGCAAATTCCACACACATGGAGCCGAGGCGGAGACTTGTGCTAACCACCACACCACCATGCCGCCCCTTCAGTGGTAACTAAGGAAGGATAAAGTCTCCAGTCAGTATGTCCAGAGCTGTCTCAGAGTCCATCGCAGGCTGAAAGGGAAAAACGTTCATGTTCAATTCCCTCCATACTTAACCATTGCTGTCAAACAGATGCGACCTTATATTATTTCCAGTTTACTTGATATTCAATACAATGGTCAATGAAAAGATGAACAAACAAGTAAAATTCCTTATCAGTTATAAGCAGAATCTCTAGGATTAGTGATAAATTGGAAGTGTGACCAAAGATTTGATCTCTATTTCAGCTGAGAATTAAGGTTTGTCTGGACAGGAAAATACCGTGTTTTCCACAGCAACTGGTGCAACAGGTACTGGCTCCTTTGGAAACCTGTAATTTGGAGGTAGAGTGTCGTCTCTCTCACCCAATCGCGGCCTTATCTCAGCTTTTATGATGCCTTCCTGCGCACCAAAAGAAATTTCAGCATTTATATCAATAACATTGTCAACTCTAAAATGTCCCATTGCATCAATATGTCACAACAATCATACCTGTAAGGATAAAACAGATTACCTCTGTTTACTCAGTGATAATTAATAATAATGTTACCATATACTGTTTAGTACTATACATGCACCACTTCAATTACTCAGTTGGCAATATATTATAATTATTAATATGTGTAATTCAAATTCTGTGTAGCTTTATTTTCATTGTGAAGATGCTTGATTGCGATGAATTATGTACCTCAAGGATAGCTGCAGGTTGAGCCTTTGGTGCTGGCTTTGAAGCAGGCAGGTTGGTTGAGAAGTTACTGAAGGCAGACACGTGCTTCGAATGACTCTAGATACACAAACATGGGAGTCTTACAAATACAAGTATTTTGTGTCTTCAGTACATTCACATGCATTCATTCAGCAGACGTTTTTGTCCAAAGGAGCAGCCAGTGCCCCTGGAATTATGTGGGTTTAGAGCATCACACAAGGTCCCCATGGTAACATGGTCAGACAGTACCATGATGGTAGAGTGTGGCTCACAGGCCTCTGTGCTTGGGATCGGAAGGGTGTCTGTTTGAGTCCCAACCTCAGTGGAAAAGTCACACCTCCCTTCACCACTGAGATCCTCCAAGCAATCAATTAATACCTCTGCTGAATGCATTATAGGTTGATGATACTAGAAACAGTATTACTATTAATCTGACTATATCTATAGATAGATAATGTGAGGGATGTGGATCTCCTACTTCTTCTTCTGAAATTACAAATACAGGCAGACCATAGACGTTATGAATGAGATCTGTTCCCCAGGTCTGTCTTTAAGTCAAATTTGTAGCCATCAGAAAAATAATAATGCAGCACATTATTACTACGATAACAAGTATACAGTAATAATAAAATTAATTAAATATGGTACTATACTGTACCATGAGCCAACAAACTGCTGAAGCCACGCAACACTTTCTTGAACATCACAAAGTAGTGCATGCGTTCGTTATTACGAATCATTGTAACTCAAATTTTTTATATAACAGACATTATGGTGGTCTGTTCGTAAATAAGAGTTGTTCGTAAGTTGGACATTTTTAACCCAGGGAAAGTCCGTCGGTAAAATGCTCAGCGTCGTGTGGTCCTCAGGTCTGGAGTATTTAATGGATGAGGAAGAGCCAAAGGTGTCAAAGTATCTAGCAGACACATCATTCTGTGTAATTATCTCACTTTTCTATGATAGCACCACATTTAGAGAGGGATACTTCCTTGATACTTTGTCAAGAACTAACTTGCTCTCTACTTTCTCATCTTGTGAGTGACACAGATCCATATCTACCATCCAGGATGATACAGTGACAGCTATAGGTGAAGTAGAAGTTCTGGCGATTTACTTGCAAGCCAATGAAAATAGTATGAGTCATATTTTGTAATGTTCCAGAAAAGGGAGTGTCAAATATATTTCATTATACAAGAATTTCTGCATCAACACATTCATTGTGCATTTCAGTCCTGATGCCCCATTTCTCTGTTTTCTCCTGAATCAAATAAATAATCATTTTCTGTTTTTCTTGCCACACCTGGGTATTTTAAGTTGAACTCCAAAGATATGAGGTTGCTCCCTGCCTGCCACAATGTGAAAATTATACACAAAATTAAGTGTTAAACAAAGACCTGACTGATGTTACATTTATCATCCTGAACACAAATAACACAATAAGTGAACATTATCTAGTTTGCAGATTGAATGGTATTTTGTCTTAAGCTGGGCGTGAGTCACAGTGAATACAGTCTAGTAAACAGGGGGTGGATACTTACCACAGACACAACATCCACTGGAAGTCGGCTTTTGCTGTCATAGGGTGTTGTGTTCTGGGTTTGCTGCAGTATAGAAATAGAAGGAAATATGAGAGACAGTGTCTTGAATGTAACATGACTGTGACACACAGCACCATCAAGCTAGACTATATTTATGCACTACATTACAAAACAAGGTATGAAGAACCACTCAGAGGTCCAGATACAAGGGAGTAACCTGTCTGTGCTCAACCTGCCACCTCCCTGTCCCACCCTGTCATCTGACCTAAACAACCTGCCCATCTAACCACAATCCGCTCGCTAACCTGTGCCATCCCACCATCTGCCTGAATTGGCCCTGTACTAAAAGACTGTAAACTTGTCCTGCCCTTTGCCAATCAGAGGAGGATGAGCTTCCCCTTCTAACATTGCTTCCTCCCAAAGTTTCTTCTGCTCTCTGGGGGAGATATACCAATGTCCATGGTATATTTTTAATGATAATGTTTTCAAATACAGCTTTAAGAATAATGGCATTACATATTTTGTAGCAAGCTAAACTAATGACTACAGCTTCAACAAGATAAACCTGTTTTTTTGGGTGTGGATGCATTCCCTGAAAATGGAAACTTTGGTACAATGAGTGCACTAATCAGAATTCCTGTCATTCAGATAGATGGTAATGATAGAGAGTACGGAACAAGATTTTAAACACTTACATTTACTCAACCCCTATCAGTTGAATAAAATTTAGTTGTGGCCATTTTTGCACTATAATTATTTGCTTGAATCTTTCTGTACTGGTGTACAAAATTGTGGAAACATCTAGTATTTTGGCATTATGATTTAAAAATTACTACACAAAATACTGGCAGTAATGTTTATAAGCAATCAAAGAATGGTCACAAGTATCATACACTGGATGATTAAATAAGTAACTGGGGTAACCGGAATAAAATTCTGCAATCTCTAAAAATCGGAAATGTTTCCACAATTTTGTCCAGCACCTTATTTACTGTTAAATATCATCAGTTGCTGTATTTATATTGTCTCGCATTCATTGTCTTGTGCCTCTGATCTATTTCCATTCAATCACAAATTACCAGACTGAAGCTTGCATACTTTGGGAATATTATGAGGAGACCCTGTGGATTGGGGAAAAAATATAGTTCTTGGAAAAATTTTGTGTAATGGAGGACGTGAACAACCAATAATAAGATGAATGAGCTCAGTCTCACAACAATCAATATTCCCTACATCTTCTCTCCCCCCCCCCCCCCCCCCCCCCCCCCCCCCCCCCCCCAAGCCCCAGCCCCAGCCCCAGCCCCTAATGTTTTCATCAGGATACCATGTTCTTTATTAAATTCTAAATGAATAGTTCAATTGTGCTTTGGTATTACTTAGCAATTTTATAACCAATTAAAATCTGTCACAGCCCACCTGGCAAGTCATAATTTTCATTCCCATTCCCCCTGCCTTAATTAGCTGAAAACTAATGCCAACTTTTCACACTTACGCCATATTCATTCGATATCAAGTATTAATTTCATTAGGCTATATACTCCTAAGGTATATTAGCTGCATTTCACATTAAACAAACACGCCATTTTATTGTAATAGAACTAATGACCCATTCCAGCCATCTAGTCACAGCGGAAACTAACTCTCTTGGCTCTTCTGTAGAATAACTTTAAGGCAGTAATAACTATAAGAAAATAGTCTGACAAGTGAACTCCACCAAAAAAAAACCATTAGTTTTCTTCATTACTAGATTATGAGTCTAATATCCAAAGACATCTATATTAATGAATCCCCCCATGCCTTTGTGTATATTAAACTTAAGCTCGTTTTCTCCCTGTATTCATGTGTTTCATCCTGCATTGGCCAGCCTGTGGACTGGCACCTCTAAAATGTAACACTGCATTGTAGCAGCTGTAACACTGCATTGGCCAGCCTGTGGACTGGCACCTCTAAAATGTAACACTGCATTGTAGCAGCTGTA